GCTAGCCAAAATCGAATCTTTAAAAATTAAAAATTACATTTATTTCGATAACATTTTTTTTATTTACATTTTTAAAAATTAATAGCATTGTCTATGTTATTTGTGTTATATATTTTAAAAGTATTAAATATTATTATTATTATTACTAATCGGTTACAAGATAAGTGTATTATTTTATTATTTTATTTTTATTAATTCATTTTCCTGAATCATTTTTTCACAGTGCAGAAAAGCGGCAACGGAAGCCGATTCTCGATTGGCATTTTGACACGGACGGCGAGTTGAGCCCTCAGATGCGGATTAAGAGCATCAGCATCTTGGAGCTGTAGCCGAAAATTTAAAATTTATGCCGACTGCGGCACATAATTTAAAAATATCAATCAACTCGATAACGCAGATTGTGGCATCGGCAGAGGGCAGATGGCAGGCGGAAGAGTCCCGAGTCCCGAATCCTGAAGCGAGTCGGCAGGGAACGAGCGAACGAACCAGCAAACAAACAAACAAGCTCGGCAGGAAAGTCGCTGAGGAAAAACTTGGTAAACAACGTGGAAAACGGCGGGTATTTGGTAGTGGGATATAACGGGCAAATGCTGCAGGAGCTTTGCAGAGATGGTACCAGGAACTGAAGCTGCTGCAGGAGGTTTACTGTGGCAACGGCAGCTGCAAAAGTTTAGGCATCCAGTGCCGGTTCGATTCCTATTATCCTTTGGCGTGGCAGGGACGTCGCACTCTTCTTTTTTGGAGGGTGGAAACGAAGGGCTGCCTCCGGTAATCCGCCCCGAAGGCTTCCACTTCCACTGCCAGCAGTTTAACCCCTTCAGGGCCAATGGATACTTTGAGTAACTTTGATTGACCTTTTCACTTCATTTTTAAAGGTCCAGATAAAGTTTGATTCGAGCCGAGAGATCGCGTGCCATTTAAAACTGGCCCTTAAGGAGAAGTTTAGAGCCAAGATATAAAGGAAATAAAAATAGAATACTGATAAAGGGGCAATTGGTTGACAGTTTGGAACAATTTAAAGAAATTAGTCAAATTATATACCTAAGAATAATAAACAAATAAATCATTAAAATTAATATATTAAAAGGAAACATGGTAATCGTTTAGTTTAGTTTAAGTTTAAATGAATCTAACATATGTAAAAGGCAAACCTTTTCCAGCTTCTACCAGCTTATCCAGGAAAAATCTCCTCTAAAACACTCAGCGGAGTGAATCATAGAGTGGATTCCCCTAAGCCAGGCCAAGGGTTAAGTGTATTAGGACTCTATATCACAATTTCTCTCATCTCTTATCCGTTTCCCTGTCATTCTCTGTGTTTCAGTACTTGTACGGCCATAATGCCAGAAAAACTTATTCCCTGATATGCAACAAACAGGCAACAAACGACAAACGAGCGCCAACAATGGCAGAAAGCTAAGCCAAGGCCAGAAAAAAAGCGGTAAGCAAGTGGAAACGCTGCCAGGTGCAGTTGCAGTTGCAGCTGCAACTAGGGTTGGTCCTACTGCCACACAGTCGAGGAACTGGGAGCCGCTCAAAGGACAAAACAAAAACGAGTGGGAACGCGAGGATCCGACTATAAAAATACCCGTCATTAAACTGAAAAGTTGTTATCTTATATTATTTGTGATGTTAAAATTTATAATAAAAAAGGTATAAATTTAAAAACAAATTTATCTAATAAATTTCCTTTGCCCTGCCTCGAATTCAACATACCTTTTAATTCCAACAACTACCGGGTATATAACTGCAGGAAAATTGAAAAAGCACAGAGAACGGAGAACAGAGAATGGAGCTAAACACAGAAGTAGACTTGAAACCGTTTTGCCGGCATTCGGAGGGGATTCCCTTTGCGGTGTCATTTGCAATTATGCGGCCAGGCGATGCATGCCAGTTTGATGAGATGCTGCTGCTGCTGCTGCTGGAGCTGGAGTCCTTAGCTGCAATCGGTTTATTTCTTTGTCCCAGAAGCCTTTCAATGCATCCCTTCAACGTATCGCAGCTATCCCAGGCAGCTACCAATTCATTAGCCGATTACTGGCATCGAACTCAAATATTTATTAAAGCCAGCCCCGGAGTGTGACTGCAAAATTAACTCAATTTCCTATTCCTTTGTGCTTTTGCTGAAACTGAGACGCTTTTTACATCTATTTCGTCCCAGAATTTTTCCATTTGGCCAACGCAAACACAAGCACGGTAAAGTGGAAAAGCAAGAAAAGCTGAAAAAAGAAATATGAGAAATATGAAAATCGAGAATGCAAACACAATTTGAATGCTTGGAGCGAGAAGAAGCGAATCAAGCTGAAAATTCATCAATTTTCAGCTACATAGACCAGGGAGGTTCCCAAGACTGGTATATTTAATTAGTCAAGGATTCGGATAAACAAATTTTTTCCATTCAATTCGACGGATATCCCCAAAGCTTGGTGCTCGGCAGCAAATTAATTATACGTCACTTGTATTTAATTAGTTTATTGAATGACCAGTGCTTCGAAATCAATTGGAATACGGAAAAGTCTGTGCATCTGCAGCTGCGATAAATGCGGCAGTCAACACTTCAACTGCGACTTGAATTTGCCGAGCTTTGGTCCTCGTTGGTCCTTGCTCCTTTCGGCTGGCTTCTGGTCCAGCACCTGCTTCTGCTCCTGCTCCTGGTCCTGGCCATTCAGACGTGCAATCTAAAATCGAAAAATCAAAACCCAAAACAAATTCAATGTCCTGAACGTGTGTCTGTCTGCCAGTCCGTGAGTCCTTCGGTCTGGTTGTGTGGGCCACTCAGCAGGATAACGAATGGAGCTGCACAATGGGTAGAAAAGTGCAGTTTGCGGCTGAAAACCGGATATTTTCCTTTCGCCTTCGCAGCAGTCCGACGACACAAACAGCAGCCAGCGAGAGGCAAAGCCAGGTGCAGGCACAGACTGAGTCCAGGCATTCAGGATCAGAAGGAAGCTGCCAGTGACTTGGCTATGAGCCGAGGAAATGGAGGACACTTGCTAGGCTGGCTTCGGCTTTAACTACATACCAGAGATACAAGATAAGCGCGCTCTTTACACAAACATAATTAATTAACATCCTGGCGAGGCTGTCCTCTACAGATTTGTCCTGGAAAACTTAATTGAATGTGGTACTCTGCTCGAAAAAAAGGAAAAAGAATCACAGTGAAATCACTGCCAAAGTGGAAGCTGAAACCAGATGAATGTGAGAAGATTATTAAACACCGAAGCCCCGCTTGCCCGCTGTTGGCTTTCAGTAACGAAGAGCTAACGACATAAACATCAACCGGCAGCCAATTAATGACAGCGAGCTACAGCGTTTATCGTTTCACTTACAACCCAATACGTCGGAAGAAGCTCCCTGCATTTTTCCCAGCACTTTCCCCTGCATTTATCCACCCTCCCCTCCCTTTAGCTGGCCACCACCTGTCTGCCCGGCCCAAAGGGCAGACAATGAAAATCAACTAAGCAATTGGCAACTAAACGAGACACCCACAGCCAGCACTTCAAGGCCCCACACATACGAAACTGGCCAAGAAAGCACAGATGCCAAGTGTTGCCAATTAGCTGGCCGTGACTGTAGCACATTTGGCCAGGCTTTGGGGCGGGGGGCGACTCGGCAATCAAGGGCTGCAATTGGGCGAACGGGAAACGGGGACACACGGCACACACATGCACTGGCTGCAAAATGAAAATGAAAATGAAAATGAGAAACTGAGGAAAACAGAGAAATGAAAACTGAATTATTGCTTAGGGCGACACGAGGGGGTTGAGCTGGGTTTGCTGGCTGCGGACTGGGGGCTGGGGACGAATCGGCACTTGGCTCTAACATAAATGTAATGCTTTTATTAGTTATCGATACCAACACATGCACACCCAAGGGTGCAGGGCTTCTCGAGTCCTTGCACTCACAAAAAAATATTATGACTTTCTCAGGCCTAAGCTTGTCTTTTAATTACGATTTCAGCAGCTTTATTTTGAAACTAGAAGTACTACTTTGTCAAAACTAAATTTTTTATTACTCTATAGATATACAAAATATGGTTAACAGATGTATATTTCATTATGTATATGTTAAATGTGAATTTAAAAGATTCCTCCTATGATCCATGAATCTCGGGTTGATTTAATAATTATGTGACTTACTGCTTGTAAGGCAACTCTTTAATAATTCATTATTTTCTCCTTGTGCAGGAGTCAGATGGGAAGATATGGAAGACTCTCTAACCATGTCTCACGAGAGCGGGAGGGAAAAGGGGAAGACAGCGCTGGTATCCGGCGCCAAAGATTTACCAAACATCCGCTGGAAAATACCACCCCTACCCCCCCTAGAGCCCTTTCCCTGATACAACACCCCCGAAGCTGGTGCTGCTGCTGCTGCTGGTGTTGTTGTTAGCCAAGTTTGTTGTTGGCAAGCGCGATTGCAGCAAATCAGAAAATACTCGCACAAGTGCGAATGTGAATATTGATGCCAGGACATACTATACTGTGTATAAGTATGTATGGCTAGATAGACGTGTGTGTGACTGCACACGTGAGTGTGTGTGTGAGTGTGTATAGTTGGCATTGCAAAACACAAACACAAAACTTCCATTCTGGTCGTGCTCCGCGACTCGACTTTAGCCAGCCACTTGGCGCTACTTCGCCCACTTCAGCGCCACTCCACCCACTCGGCCCGCCCCCCTCACACACAGGCACACAGGACTCGAACAGAAACACACACAAGCACGCCCACAGAGCGCTCCTTGCTCGCTTACTTGCTACTTCCGCTTCCGAATCCGTTTTGTGTGCTGTCGCCGCAGAAATTTAACGAAGTCACACGTCGCCAATGTCGATGCCGCTCTTTCTCTGCTCTCGGGAAAGCTCTCACTCAGTCTCACTGTCTCACTCTCTTCAGCACGACAGCCTCCGCCGAAGCGTCCTGCATCCTCGGCATCCTGTCGCTCGGGTCCAGATGGCAGCATCCTTTCGGTGGCAGTTCAGTTGCGAATTCAGGTTCGGAGCGTTCGGTGGTTCGAAGGCAGCTGATTTGCAATTTTTCGCGGCCTAAACGTTCGAAAGTTGTTGTTTTGTTTTGGTCGTGTCGCCAAATTTCGCGCGATTTTCCAGTAGCATCGGTGTGTGTGCATTTTATTTCGCACCAGGATCTGTCTCAAACTCTAACTCAGACTCAGACTTTTGGGTGTATGTATTGGTGGCATCCGGCTACTGTGTGTGTTTTTGCGTCTGTGTGTGCCGGCAGATCCTCATTGTTGTTGGCCCATTGTAATTGCAGTCACTGTGGCGTATACTTGACATCTTCGCCGCCAAATTGTGCGACTTCTCCTTCGACTTTGGCTGCCGCCTCAGCTCCCCTTGGCCGCTCCTTGGGCTCTGGATCCTTGTGACATTGCCGTGAAGACGTGAAGAGCCCTCAAATCCGCTATTCCACTGTATTCGCAATCCATTTGCCTGCTGCCCTTCTGCGACAGGCAAACAAATTTTGCAATTCAATTTCTATTGTGCATTGCCGATGCGAAATGTGCGCATCGTTTGCTGTCAATGCCGAGCATTTCGCATAAAAATTGAAAATTGCATGCAAATTAAATAAATAGACATCCGCTGGAGCGCGAGGAGCACAACAGCTGAGCTAGACACTCAAGAATATACGAGTACGTACGATATATATGTATAGTACGAGAAGATATAGACGCGCTGCGAAAATGACAGTTGTGAGTTGTGGCTCAGATTCGACTTTGTGTGCGGGGCGCAATCAAAGCAAACGTCATTAGCACTCGCGACATCGCCTTCGATTGACAGGAGTAAGGAGGAGAAGGAGAAGCAGGAGGAGCAGGACCAGATTCCTGCCGCAGCAGCAGGCACGAACAACTCCACATTTGCATAACTTCGGTGCAGCGCCAGATCCAGATTCCAATTCACAGGTACGAGAAAAACTCCTTGCCAAAGTCGATTTCCGTTTTAGCAATCCTTTACCCCCATCGCTCCCCATCCAAACTCCAATGGCTTCGCAACTTTGCTATCATTTCTATTTTCCTGTTTCTGTTTTTCATACCCGATATGTCTCCATCCTCCCTCCCTTCCAAGTCCCACCCAGCGAAGGGGTGTAATCGAATGATATTCAGCTCGTGCCGCAGTTGGCTCCGTGGCGAATCCATTGTGGTGCACTCGGAGGTGCTCCCGACTCGCGGGCTGCCGATTAAAGAACTAACTGGGTTTGCTTAGCGGCATTCGAGCGGTTTCAGCTTTTTAGGTCAGCCATAGCTCAGGGCTTAATGATCCAATAAGGAGCTTTCAGGATGTAGGTATTGAAACCTGTTGGTTTCATGGGAGACTGAAAAAAAACTATGTACAAATTAGTATGGTTTTACGTTATTTTGGCCATTGAGGGCAAGTTTCTTGAGGTAATTTGGATAATTGATTTTATTTATTAAATAACAGGTAATATTTAGAATCAATTTAATATGCTTACTTTAAAATATGAGCATACAGAGCTTATTTCTTCCAAAGAAACCTGTCCATCCTGTCAGTTCTCATCTATCTGCCATCTTAAGTGCTATCATTTCACTATCATCCTGCAGCAACTGCTGGGTAATTGCTGGTCTAGCACCGTTGACTGTAGAATCAACGATTTGTTTTCGGTCTGCACGCTCTGCTCTTTGCTTTAGTATCAACTTTACGGCTGCTCTTGCTCCGGACTTCGCAGCCACCATATTCCACTCCATGCCTTCATCATGGCCACGTTATCCAACTTTTAGTTATGGCTTTCGCTTTTCGCATAATGTCAGTTTTATTTGGTTTTGGTTTTCACTGACTGGGGGGGCGCGGGGACGGTAAAGGTCCGTTGGAGATGGAAATGGGGATGGGGTAACGTCCCGGCTCAAATCCATGCCAATGCCCAGGTCCGGGCTTCAAGCTTCAGGCTGGAGGCCTCAAGCCCGTCGCCCGGCCATTCGGCACCCTTGCAAGATTTATTGTTCCTCACACACTCGTGCCCACGTACACATAACACCTTCTGCCGGGGACCTTCGTCTTCCCCTTTGGCACTTCCCCAGCCCCAGCCCGAGTCTCCTTGGCCGCGCCTTGGGTTTCAGCTCCCATTTCCAGCTCCATCTCCATCTCGTCCTCGTTCTTCATACATCTGCAGTCCCATAATCTCTACTATTTGCATCGCAGACTTTGCTTTGGATTTTCCTATGGCAATGGATTTAGTTATGGTTTTTCTTACTCTCCGGCTTTCCATTTTGCCCCTCCCCATCACCTCCTCTGTCCATCCGTCTCTTCTCCGGTTGCGCTTTTCCTACACAGACACAGACGCTGACACACACTCGCACACAGCAGTCGGACGTTTGTTTTTCCTGCCGTTCTGCACACACACTGAGCAAAAAGTGTTTGCCTAGTTATGGCTGAGAAAGAGACGGTAATAGAGAGGAAAATGGAAAAGGGTTTTCGGGGCGGAGAGAAGGGCCTGTGGCTAACCGCAACCAGCGTGTCCTAGATGCTGGCCCAGAGCGGCCAGGAATGCGGCTAATGAATAACCATCGTAATCCCAGCTGAAGCCGAGGCGATATGCAAATATGTAAGACAGATTAGCTGATTGTAAGGCCGCGATGGTTAGAAGTGATCGGGGTAGCAGATATGGAGCTTTTAATCCTGTAGTTTCTATGATATTTTAATCCATTAAGAGTATATTTTAATAGATAAGTAAATAGAAAAGACATTAGTAAGATTATTTAGAAATTTACTATATACATTTATTTTAGAGAATAATTGATACCTACATAACAAAGCCATCGTATAGCAATTCACTTAGCCCATTAATTTTTCACAGCCAAAGATTTCTTATAGAGCTGCCGGCACTTGAATTTCAAAGAAGTCCTCCTTACTTGGCAAATGAATTTTGCGGAATTTATTTCTTAGTTCTGACTTCATTATTATGGTGCGTGGAGAGCGGTGTGGGCATATTATATGCCCAGGCAATCCATAAAATTTGATCCCTGATCCATTCATTTTGGCTGGCACGCATCGCCACCGTTGCCATTACGTCCTCGGAAACCTATCGCAACCCATCACTGCCAGGACGACCGCAATGCCTCTTGCCGTTGTGTTTGCCAAATGGGTTTATTCTTTTTTTGGCCCGGTGTAGCCCGGTCGTAACTCGTTCGCCCAGATTTGGGCTCCTTGAGGAAGCCGCACATGCGAGCTCTCGCACACACGGTCGCAGGACTAACAGGATTTCCCATAAAACGGAAATGGCATTATCCTCGCACATATTGTTGTGCGGATTTTAGTTTTTATTACACCAAGCAGTGCGCGGCTGCTGTCCATAAGAAGCCTCACGGGCTCCTCAGGCTCCGCCCAAGGAGCCAAAGGAGCAGCGGCTGGAGCAACTGCGGCAGCATAAATATCATTTGTGTCTGTTTGTGTGATACATCAAGGAGTGACCCATTAGCCCCGCGCACCCCCGACATTCTGAGACCCTTACCGCTCACCTGGCGGTTGCAATTTATGGGCGGACCCCTTAAAACTTCACACACTCCTGCGGAAAGAGGTTGCCAGGCAGGATTGCGCTACGCTAATAGGTTCCCAGCCATTGTCTTTGCCAAGCGGAGATGTGGGTGAGTCTGGGACGAGGCATACGAACTGGGGATCCGATCGCTTCCCCCATTGCGGCCAAGATTTATAATGCCGCTGGCCAAAAACAACAAAGGCGTCAAATGGCCACAGAACCTACTCCTCCACCTACACTCAAATAAAATAATAATCTTAATGCAATGCTCTGTTTTCTAAGGACTTCAAAAGCACGGACGAAGAGCCTTGAGCTACTTGAATAAGAGATGATAGGGATTTTTATTTAGCTGGAATTCAACCGAATTCACATAATGGCCGAATAAAATTCAACTCATATCATTGTTATTACTTACTTAATAAATTATAAAAAATAGTTTTTATTTTGTTTTTGTTTCATAAAAATTACAAGTCTTGATAAATACAAAAATCACTGATCTTTGCACATCAAACTAGATTCTTTGCTTCTCCTACTCGTCATTATTGCTCGTCATCTTGATCACAAACAATTAAACAGTTTAAAATAAAAACTTGCCTTAAATATAATGAATATTTTAATTTTATTTGTACTGAGGTTATGTAGGAAACACCACTGAAAGTACTTTAAATATTTTTCCTTACTTTACTCATTTGAATTTAAAAATATTTTCCTAGATGAAGTTTTGAAATACTTTTGATTATAATTATAATAATTCATTTAATTTTTAATTCTCAGCTAAAGGCTATTCGCTTTAAAAGCTTTTCAAAACTTCTTCAACTCCGGCCAAATACTTTTTGCCAAAGAGAAAGGCTTTTCGCATAAGTTGAACGAGTTGCACTAATCTCCTTTTTTGAGGAGATTTTTGCTAATTTTTGCCAAGTGTTCCTCCCTTTGGCACTTCCATTCAACAAAAACCAAACCCCAAGCATGGCAAGGCAAAGCAAAGCAACCTAAACAAACACTTGAGGTGTGTAAAGTTAGCCAAGGCTGCGTTTTTGCTTGGCTTCGTTTTGGGCCACATTATGTGTGTGCGGTGCGGTTGAAGATTTTGGCTTTCGGACAAGACAAGAAAACTCTGCCGTCTGTCCGTTGGTCCGACAGTCTTCCAGTCCGCCAGTCCGGCTCTTTGTATCTGGCTTACTCTGCTTTTGTGCTTAATCACAACACGCACATTTACATATTGGTTTTGGCCAACTTGAGCAATCCTTTAAGACGGCCGGCCAACCATCCAACCGTCCAACCCTTTTTTCCCATCGCCCATCGTTCTTTGCTGCTTTATCTGCTCGTCTTTGTTTGTAGCTCGACGCTCGGTGCGATGTGGTTCAAGTTCAGCTCACCGCCGGCTGTGGGGGAATGGGGGGGGGGATTGGAGGTGGATCGGTGGGTCTGGGTCGGGGTCAGGATTACGGTTAAGTAAACACTCAGCAAGGAGCATCCGCACACACTCGGCAGGCGGTCGACGGCCTCCCTGGACAGCCATTGCCCAACCGTTTGCGGCCAGGCATTGTTTTCACTTTCCGCCGAACACCACCCTCCGGGCGGCATCCCGTACGAGCTGCCAGCTATGTCCTTCAGCTCCCAACCCCCCAAACTCCCAACCCCGACGCTCCGACGACACCACACCCAATCGCCGACTGTCTCTGAGCCTGTCTGTTTGTCTGTCCAAGTGTCTGGTTGACGGGCGGCTGTCCTGTGCCTTGACTGCTTCATAAAACATACAACAAAATCTGAAATTGATGATGGGCAGTGATTGTGGAAAGTTGGCAGTCAGTTAAATTGGGTTCCTGCCTTTCCTTTTCGGGACCAGGCCGGATAAGGGCGAGGGGATGAGTGGGACCTGGCTGCGTTAATTGCTTTGTGAATGGTGTCCGCCTTGGCCGGAAAGTTAACATTTAACTTTAGTCTATTCGGGACTTTAATCTATTTATAATTGAGGAATGCATAAAGCATGTTAAATACGAACTTACACAAATTCTACTTTGTTATGCGTCCTAATCGGGCTGGTCTTCGGCTCGGAGGACTCACTTTTGGGAGCGTTATTCGCAGCCAAGGGTCGCCGGAGCCATTGTTTTAAATGCGGATCACAGTGGGTGATGCTGTGATGCTGTGATGCCAGATGGAAGATGCTGGATGGGTAGATGGGTAGCTGGGCAGGGATGGAACCCCCCGGTGAGGTGAAGGCGACTCACATAATTTGCATAACTAATTTGTGGAAACTTTGGGCATAGGAAGTTGTTGAAAGTTCCTGAAGGAGCACAGGACGGAGCCGAGCCAGCGGTTTCAATGCCAGGAGCAGGAGCTGCAGCAATTTCTTCATCTCCTCGGCTGCGGTTGCGCTGCAGAAAAGTGCTTAATTCTTTTAAATGGACGAGCTGG